TTTTTTTTTTTTTTTTTAAGGTTTTTTTTTTTTTTTTTAGGGTTTTTTTTTTTTTTTTTCCAGTTTTTTTTTTTTTTTTTCAGATGTTTTTGGGGATATTTTTAGGGATCCCATGTGCTTTAGGGAATCCCAAGTGGTTTTGGAGTTGTTTTCGGGTGTTTTAGGGCTGATTTTTGGGATCCCAAGTAGTTTTGGGGTTGTTTTTTTGCAATCTCAGGTGGTTTCAGGTGTCCTAGGTGGCTTTGGGGTTGTTTTTTCGGGATCCCAGGTGGTTTTGGGGTTGTTTTCAGGTATTTTAGGGCTGTTTTTTGGGATCCCATATGTTTTTTGGGCTGTTCTCAGGTGGTTTTGGGCTGTTCTCAGGTGCTTTAGGGCTGTTTTTTAAGATCTAAATGGTTTTGGGGTTGTTCTCAGGTGTTTTTTGGGTTGATCTCAGGTGCTTTAGGGCTGGTTTTTGGGATCCCAGGTGTTTTTTGGGTTGTTCTCAGGTGTTTTGGGCTGTTTTTTGCAATCCCGGGTATTTTTGGGATCCCAGGTGTTTTAGGGCTGTTTTTTAGGACCCCAGCTGGTTTTTTTGGGTTGATCTCAGGTGCTTTAGGGCTGGTTTTTGGGATCCCAGGTGTTTTTTGGGTTGATTTCAGGTGTTTCTGAGTTGTTCTCAGGTGTTTTGGGCTGTCTTTTGCAATCCTGGGTGGTTTTGGGATCCCAGGTATTTTTTGGGCTGTTCTCAGGTGTTTTCGGGTTGTTCTCAGGTGTTTTGGGTGTTTTTTGCAATCCTGGGTGGTTTTGGGATCCCAGGTGTTTTTTGGGTTGATTTCAGGTGTTTTTGGGCTATTCTCAGGTGCTTTAGGGCTGTTTTTTAGGACTCCAGCTGTTTTTTTGGGTTGTTCTCAGGTGCTTTAGGGCTGGTTTTTGGGATCCCAGGTGTTTTCGGGTTGTTCTCAGGTGTTTTGGGCTGTTTTTTGCAATCCTGGGTGATTTTGGGATCCCAGGTGTTTTTTGGGCTGTTCTCAGGTGTTTTTTGGGCTGTTCTCAGGTGTTTTCGGGTTGTTCTCAGGTGTTTTGGGTGGTTTTTTGCAATCCTGGGTGGTTTTGGGGATCCCAGGTGTTTTCTGGGTTGATTTCAGGTGTTTTTTGGGTTGTTCTCAGGTGCTTTAGGGCTGTTTTTTGGGATCCCAGGTGTTTTTTGGGATCCCAGGTGTTTTTTGGGCTGTTCTCAGGTGTTTTCGGGTTGATCTCAGGTGCTTTAGGGCTGGTTTTTGGGATCCCAGGTGTTTTCGGGTTGTTCTCAGGTGTTTTGGGCGGTTTTTTGCAATCCTGGGTGGTTTTGGGATCCCAGGTGTTTTTTGGGTTGATTTCAGGTGTTTTCGGGCTGTTCTCAGGTGTTTTGGGCTGGCTGTACCTTCCTGAGGGCGTCGTTGTCCTCCAGGTACTGCCGGGCCGCCTGGCTGGCGCCCTCGGCCTGCTTGCGGAACGCCTGGCTGGAGGCACCCAGGGCGGCCTGCGCCGAGATCAGCGTCACCAGGCGCCTCAGGAGGCTGGGGGACACAAATTCGGGGTTCAGGGACCCCCAAAATTCCACTGAGTCCCCCAAAATCCCACTCAGTCCCCCCAAATCCCCAAAATCCCCCCGAGACTGCCAGGCATGGCTGGAGGCACCCAGGGCGGCCTGCGCCGAGATCAGCGTCACCAGGCGCCTCAGGAGGCTGGGGGACACAAATTTGGGGTTCAGGGACCCCCAAAATTCCACTGAGTCCCCCAAAATCCCACTCAGTCCCCCCAAATCCCCAAAATCCCCCCGAGACTGCAGGGCATGGCTGGAGGCACCCAGGGCGGCCTGGGCCGAGATCAGCGTCACCAGGCGCCTCAGGAGGCTGGGGGACACAAATTCGGGGTTCAGGGACCCTCAAATTGGGGTCACAGAACCCCCAAAATCCCCCTGAATCCCCCAAATCCCACTGAGTCCCCCAAAATTCCCCCCCGAGACCCTGGGCCTGGCTGGAAGCACCGAGCACGGCCTGGGCCAAGATCAGCAGCACCAGGTGCCTCAGGAGGCTGGGGGGCACAAATTTGGGGTTCAGGGACCCCCCAAATTCCCTTCAGCCCCCTCCAAATCACGGCCCAGGACCCCCAGATCTCCCCCAGCCTCACAAGGAGAGCAGCAGGGCAAAGCCAGCCAGGACCACCCCTTCCCAACCCCCTCAAACCCGCTCCAGGACCCCCCAAACCATGGCTGGGACCCCCCAAATTCCCTTCAGCCCCCCCAAAATCGTGCCTGGGACCCCCCAAAATTCTGTTCAACCCCCCCAAATTCCCTTCAGCTCCCCCAAAATCCACCCAGGCTCACAAGGAGAGCAGCAAGGTGAAGCCAGCCAGGTAGAGCCTCTTCCCAACCCTCCCAAACCAGCTCCAGGACCCCCCAAACCATGGCTGGGACCCCCCAAATTCCCTTCAGCCCTCCCCAAATTCCCTTCAGCCCCCCCCAAATTCTCTTCAGCCCCCCCAAACTGTGG